GAATTCATGCACTCAATGTTACCCCATGCCCAGGGAATGAGGTAGTGTGTGCATGGATTAATAAAATGTAAAAATTATTAAGTGATAAAACATGAACATTGATTGAAGATTTATTCGAATACACCCAAAACCATAACTGATTAGTTATATTATACAGAATGCAAAGTATACAACAGAACACAAATTTACAAAAAAACGTTGATAAAGATCAATTATAACAGTCATTTCTATCATGATGAATAAAAATTGAGTATTATACATTGTCATTACATGCAGGATGATTTTTTCTGGATTAGAAAATATAAAATCATTTGATAACAAATAATAATAACAGCTATTGTTTATTGAACAGAAGCAATTTAGCACTTCAAATAATGCACTAATCACGACAGGGTTGAAAGTTTGCTAAAACCCTGACGACACAGTTGTTTGTGCATAATGCGACTTTGAGTTAATGAATTAAAATGAAACTGCAAATTTTATATTTGAAGACCTGCATTCAGTGTTAAAATGAACTCAAAAGGGAATTAATTGTCAGCATTATGAACTGCGCTCAGAAAATTGATCCCAAAACAACATATGCATACACAAAAAGGCAAGAGAAAGGTAACTTAAAGACTGAAAAAAAATCTGATTCAAGCACATTTCAGAATAAAATCTGATCGAAAAAGATTCTCGAATCTTAGAATGAATCCGACAATTGATATTACAATGAAACAACTCGCAAGGAATATACAANTCTTCAGCATTCAACATGTTCTCACAGTGAACGAGCGAATTCCTCTCGTTTACGAATGTATAAAACGGAAATCTGACTTAATAAAAAAAAAGAAAATATCTATGCGACATTCCTTTTGCAAAAGTCAGCAATCCAGAAGCTAGTTTGATAACGGAAACATTCCAAAGTTGCAAACAAACAAATGAAATGCGTTTTAAAAACGGATTAACATACTGATTGAGTAAACTACACAACATTAACAATGCATAATGGAAATAAAAAATTATTCACCTAAATCATTAATACAAAGTTAAGTGAAAATTTGGTTGTGCTGCATTGATGTGCCTTCAAACTCACACATTTTGACCAGAGTATTACAGTTATCAACTTGTGAATTGAATGAAGCGAGAGATTAATAATAACAATAATGCGAATGCAAAAACGAACGAATGAATTTCGCCTACACAAACAGAAACAAAAATAAGCAATAAAATCAATCAAAACTATAAAATCAATATTATCACAAATAAAATGCACACTCATTTGGGTTGATGATGAAGTGACACAATGAAAGTTGTGAATTTTCCGTCGATATCAAACTTAATTACAAATAGTATAATCATCAGCAACAATTATAAATAACAATTACGAAAACCTCTAAACAATGATAGTAATAATAAAAGTAATCAATTTCTCGCACAACACGAGTTCGCCTGCATTGTCACTCGATCCAACAGGCTTATTGATCCAGGTTCTTTGGTAGCTGTATAATTCGTATACCTTAAACAAAGGGCCATTAAAGTTTTCCTATCAAATCGATGGAATTTTTCGAACAATGCAAAAGAAATTTCGGAACAAGTATGAAATGTAGCATAAAATGAGGAATCGAGCACCTTTCATCGGACCTCTTCATGTCATTAGTCAGTCTCATCGCAACCTCATGAAATAATCGATCCACATTGGTCGCATCCAACGCGGATGTCTCCAAGAAATAATCGAACGCGTTCGCATCTCCAAAATTCTTACCAATCCTCTCCGGAATCTCACGCTCGTCCTCTTTGTCCACTTTATTACCTACAAATTTCGTTCCATTTCATCTACCCAAATGAAAATGCATAAAATAATGTCAACGTGAGTCCAGTAAAACCAATAACCACGAAAACAATCCAAACAACCAACCGACAAGTATTTTCAGCACGCGTCTGTTCGCGTACTGTTCGATCTCGCCCAACCACTCGGGTAAGCAATCGAAGCTCGGTTGACATGCCACGTCATAGACCAGCACGATGGCATGTGCTGATCGATAGTAGGATTGTGTGATCGAGCGGAAACGCTCCTGACCTGCCGTGTCCCAAATTTGTAACTGAAACAAACACGTATCGTTTTATTGCTATAATTACCACCGCCCTCAACCCAAAAACTCGTCTTACTCATGACTGATGAATACTTACTGATACTTACTCATGATTGATGACTCTCAACTTAATATTAACAACTGTTAATTACCAAGTCAATTGATGACTTATGAGAAAAACACGGCAGAAATGCAATTGATAAGGACAAACCTTGATTTTATCATCACCTACTTTCACCGTTTTTATCATAAAATCAACGCCAATTGTGGCGCTCTGACCTGGTGGAAATATACCCTGAAAGAATGACATTAACTATCATTACTATTGATTAAAACGAACTACTACAAGCACGACCANTGAGTGAATTTCCTGACCAAGCACGTTTTACCGACGCCAGCGTTGCCAACAAGGACAACTTTGAACAAATACTTATAGTCTTCCATTAATTCAACAATAAATTATATCATGTATTCACTCGGTTCGTTGTTATCCCAACAATAATAACGCCAATAAAAATGACAATAAATGTCGCTCAATCCAAGTCTGCAATGTAATAATTCTATCACAGATGAGCAAACATGAACACGAATAAAAACATGAACAAATCGTCAAACTGAATGCACTGATATGCTCGTGGAAACTGGATCGCTAAAGCACCTTCATTACATATTAATAAAAACCTTGCATATTAATACTAATGTAAAAATGACTGATGGCATATTACCATTCGAACAATCGATTCTCCATTACCATTCACTACCTCAGAGCATTAAGGTGAAAAAGTCATAGAGATAAATTAACGCAACGAAACGAATAATGTTACATTGTTCAATAGCTAAACAGAACTGCACACAGGAGATCTGATCTCGTTACCCTTTCGTTATTAGCGTTGCAACTCATTAATTATCGTGATAAATGGGGTACACATATTTTGATCTTCTCCTGTGAGTTGGAAGGAGGTGAGAGTGTTTTATATAAGACACTATTTTGTCGATAAAGGTGCATGTGCAACTATCGATTGCTGTGCAACTACCAATTAATTAATTACTAACTTGGATTGCTTCAATAGAAATCGCCTCTTGAAGGAATAGCTGGAATAGATAAAACTTAATGAATTATACACGGTAAGGTGATACGATCGGAAACGACATCTTATAAGACAGGAACAACGAGCACAGTTTCCTTCTAAAGATTATGCTACTGCAAACTAGAATTTTATGTAAACTTTATTCATTGAAAGACCAAAAACCAATGAAAACCATTCGAAACTTTGGACCAAAAATTGACCTTAGGCAAGTTCATGCCCAGAATTCAAGTGTTTGATATAAATTTGATGCTTATGAACTAAAAAATTAATTGGCAGTAATGACTCTTAAGAAATAAACGTTGATTTTGATAAATAAGAACGATGTAACTAATCGCCAAAAACCAAAGACTGCCCCTAGGCCATTTGCCTCATTCGGTACTCAAACGAGCGATAATCGCACTGGGATTAGATTCCATCTTGCTGAATTGCGTTTTCATATGAGACTTTGGAATTGTTCGTTTGAATTTTGTGCGCTATGAATAAAGGCGTAATGATAGTGATAATGAAACCACACCCGCACCCCTCTATCTCCTATAAGCAGCGCCAATTAGTCCATGAGGCAAATCTGATGGATATTTCAAATTTATCATGGTCACCGAACATCATACGATTTCCTAAAAGCATTCATTAGCCACTCGTAGATGAAAATTCACAGGTTTCAGGTTTATTGGCCATCAGAATAGTTTTTGCCGGTCTGGATAGGAGTTGACCCTCGTTGAAATAGTCTCGAATTGGAAAAGAACAAACGTGATCATGTTGTTCGTCTTCTTCAATGTGCTTTTATTATTTGCACCACTTGAAGTGCTCTTTTCTTTCAAGTAGCTGAGGTGAGGTGAGGTG